AAAACGGAATTAAGTACAGTAACAGATTCTGTGTAAGCTTTACAATACCTAACGCATTTCGTTCCATTAAGCAAAGACAATGTTGAAGATGAATTAATAAAATCATCTCGGGGCTATCGGCCGAGGTTTCAGGGACCAATTCTGTCCACGTCAGGACGTCTGATGTGGTCGTCCACGCTGGCTGTCTTTTGGGTTGTTGGACCGTGGTTATCATCATTGCCCCGATGATGGAAGCAGCGAGCACTTCCGAAACGTCGGTAATATTGTACAATATTATCTCTGGGCAACAGCCCGGAAGACAGCCAGCCACTTTCGTTCTCCTCGCCCTGAGAACCTCAAATCTCACAGACACTATTCAGGTACGAAATTGTCGTGGTTCATCTTTGCTGCTTGTCTCTGAGCATCTTACTTAATTTTTCTTCTCTGAAAACAACAGTTAAATAAATTATCATCTCTCATCGCTCTTTCGTATCGGTGCCTTTGAAGTTTTGCCTTCGGCCGCTGGTTAATGTCGAATGGGGGCAAGATTCTACAATAAATTAATAAAATGGTGAGGTTATTCAGGTTATGAAGCGTTAATTTATTTGAGAATACTTTGCCTACTACATTGGTCATGAAGTATGTTGAATGGTGAATGATGTACGTGGAGAGGAGCGGCTGTACCGTTTTACCGAGTTTATCTTTCGGCCCCTAAGGCACTAAAGACTTTTTTGTCAGTCTCTGAGCTGAGATACGAACTCTGTACCTGTTCAGCGCAACGAGGGAGTGTATGTATCATGCAGTGCTGATATCTACCATCAGTCTGTGTCGTTTGCATGACCCTTGCGCTCATGAAGATAACCCCAGGTCGGCCATAGCAGTTTGTATAGGATGTTTTTGTTTACAAGATGTAACACTTCGGTCATGGCATCTTTTACGTGCCTCCATTTTTAATGTCGCCTGCCTGAGAAATCGGTTGATTATGTCCGCGTCGAATACTACCCCCCCCCCCCCGATATAAAATTTATGTTTCGTATTTCACAAAACTTTTGTGTCAAGGTTTCTACAGCTTCTGCGGAAAGTAATTTTCCGACTTTTGTAATCAGTGACGTCACAGCCGTCAACTACTCATTGCCATGGCAACGGAGGTACTTCCCACTGCCGTCAAAGTGTGGCAATGGGTTAATAGTGATGTCAACACGAACCCAGTATTGATCGACTAGATACTCTGTATGTGCGTAATGTTGCTTTTTAAATGCGTCACGAATTTCAGGGCGTAGTGGTTAGACTCGTGGCTCGGCGGTTGGGTACCTTACAGAGTTTTCCTCGGTCCCCCAGGCAACTGTGAGGCAGTAACACATAATGGGTCATATGACGTCTTCTGACGCGTTGACCAATTGCTGAACTGCTCATCCGTACACACACACGTCGTCATACAAATCTCGAAGCTTCCAATGTTTTTTGCATCAAATTAGAAACGTATTATTCTGTCGTAGCGAAACTGAAATTAAGATGGCTGCCTTCTATTTGCTTCTGAAATCTGGAAATTTTAAACTCGCGATTGCTCCCCCCCCCCCAAAATTATTATTATCATGTACGAAGCAGAATTACGCTTAATCGTCCGTAAACTCTGCAGCTTTTCTTTGGTTCAGTGATTTGAATTCCAGTGACCCGTCTTTGTGTTTATAGTCAATTCTTTCTGTAGGCATATTATTTAGTTTTTTACAGATTATATTTGGGAGATATTTCGTGTCATGTTTATATTTAATTGATGTCTAAAATCCGATGTAGCAACAGGACCCATTAAAATTTGTATAAACTTCATTTTTTGCTTATATTATTTTTGTTTCGGATAAGATTTGTTTACCAAACCTCTGTTCAGTTCGTTAAGTGTGACGTTTGGTTGCTATGGTAACCGAGCTTCCAAGCCTGCGTAATGTAATAACCGATGTTGAAATATGTAATTGTATCTGCTTACTTATTTAGCGAACGTTTTTCAAGAGAAAATGATTCGATTTGATTTTCCACAGTCCCGAAACCACGTTTCCTATAAGAAGCTGGGAACGTAGTCTCTTTAGGTAACTGAGGTCCTTGCGTCACTGTTGATCTGTTCTTTGGCTGATTTTCTTGGCTACACGTGCGCTCCACAAGTCTTCCACGACGATCAGACCGTCGTGATATTCAACCGAAATCCAACCAATCAGCAATTTCAAGGCACCAAATTCACGACGACAGTAATTTAGCACGGCAGTTGGTACCGGGAATATTTCTGTGCAAATAATGAAGAATGCCTCGTGGAGTTGGCGGTAGATACCAACGTTTCGACCATCATATTACCACTTTCTTTAGGGCTGAAGATGGAGACAGTACGTTTCTCCGAAACGTTGGCATCCGCCTTCGAGTTCACACGGCGTCATTATTCTCTAAATTTTGTTGATTGAAAAAATGTTGGCAGTGAAGTGATAGTAACAGTGCGTGCATCCTCCACGTGAACAAGAAAGGCGATGAGAGGAAGAGGTGAAACTTCATAAAAAGACGAACACCGAAGAATAAACGGGAAGGCGCATGGTATTTTTTTTTAGAAAAGTATGTACGGTATGTCCGAAACGTCTATACTAGCAGGTCCACAATGCGTTACAACCCAGACGTCAACACCTTCATCCCCTTGAGAACCTTAAATCTCAAAATACGTTACTTTCTTTTGCGTGCTACGTGTCTCGTTTGCCTTATCCTTCTAGATTATTTTACCGTAATAATATTAAAATGTAGAAACAATTTCGAAACGCCTTACTATGTCATTTCCAAACGTTCCTGTTTGAATGTCTCGCTCTCTGTCTCAAATGCAGTTATAAATAAATTTGCTACATTTTACTTGGCTGCGGAAGTGTATGGTAGAACTGTCAATGGTAAATTCGTTTAAACTGCCCTCATGAAGTTAAAGACCACCGCCTGATTTTGTTGAATTCACAATATGACGCAAATATAATACCTTTAAAAAGTTTCTTTTGCGTGATATTAATATGTTACAATTCATTTCCCGTCAGAAATACTTGGGCTATCATATTACAATGAAAGTTATATTAGCGTGTTAACAGTACGTCGTCAGAATTGTATTGACGGAACATTTTATGGTCAAGGACCTTTTGAACTTCACTTAGTTATTTTTCCGCATAATTTACTGTACTGACAGGGAAAAGGATGAATGGAGCCAAGGTTTTTGTAATGGGAATTTTATGCTAAGCGACGACGCTTGTAAACAAACGACTGCCCTCTCGTCCCCGTAACACAGAAACCAGTTTTTCCGATCGGCAAAAGGGAGTCGCATGACTCACGGATTGATACGGAGACTAATGAGATTTTACTGGGAATTTTCTCTGCCGTGGCGGATACAAGGCCACGCGGTGCAGATCCCGTGCCGGTTAACTGACACAGTGATCGACGTCGTCGTCTGTTGAAGAATGCTGAATCAGACGAGTCACAGATAAAGCCATTGCAATGCCTATACTAAAAATAAATTTAGACATTTCAAAAATAAATACCACATAAAATGTCTGTACGGTTGTAATACAATTTATAAGATAGTGTAATTGCGTCATATTGTGAATAGTCTAACAATTATTTATTTTCATCCGTCTTATCACAATATTTAAAATTTCTTATAATTAAGATAATAAAATATTATTGATGTTCCATATCGATTGATCGATTTACACTTTGGAATAATAACTGAATTATCTGGCCTTCCATCTGGCAACGTTTTATAGTATTCAGACATCACCCTACTTGAATGAATAACGTATTGAATTATACGTATGTGTTCCTGTGTATGTGTGTACGTCCACGTGTGTAGGCGTATGTATATTTATTAATATGGTCTGTACCTCGTAAATAATTAATAGAATTAAATATACTGTATTTTAATGTGTCAAATAAAACCAGAGTTCGTAGTAAAGCGAGGTTTTAAACATCAGTGTAAAATTATCAGAATTTTAAAGTATTTTTGTAATGTATCTTAGAAGTGAGGTACTTCTTACGATGTTGGCCCGTTTCTATGGCAGGAGTCGCACTTACCATAAAATGATTAATTTTCAAATTTGTTTAGTCCATCTTGAGAAGCTAGCAGCCTCGGAGTTATTTAGGGAATTTTTCCTCTTAATAAAAAGGATCCTGAAGGTTCATTATCACGTTCAAAAGAGCCTGTTGTTCAGATTAATCCAGTCTGCATTGTCATAGGCTATTATATATCATAATACATTTTAGTAATATCCTAACATCTATGTTTAGGTAACAGATATTAAAGCATGTAATTCAAGCTTACCTGAACACACAGGGGATGAAGTCTGTCTGTATATGTATTTGTGTGTGCATCTACTGATTTTTCATAAAATGCACTAATTAGCCGCGACAAGACTTGGAAGTTCTGACTGTGAAAATGTTTGTGTTTCAGCTTAGGTAACAGATATTGAAGCATGTAATTGAAGCTTACCTGAACTCACACTACAGTAGTACAGTAATTCCAGAAGCAGGAAGAAGTGAGTTTGTCGTAAGGAACACAGTACAATTGTTTTCATTGAAGGATATTGGATCATCGGATGTTCGTTCCATTAGTCTACCTTTGGACTCAGTATTGCGTAGCCTATGAATAATATAAGCACAGGTAAGTTTAAGTAATCTGCTAGAATCAAACCCTTGCTTCGAATGTATTCTCGGTATTGGAGCAGGCGCCTTGCTGTCAGTTTAGCTCGGAGCCTTCGGACTGCAAATCACATTTAAAGCTTCGTCCATTTGCTCGTCGTATCTGTGTGTGTGTGTGAAAGTTCTTATGCGACCCTGCAGAGATATGAACCGGCGCCTCCCGGTTACAGATCAGACGCTTGACGCCTGAGCTAACCTGCTGTATGAGAGGGGATGAAGTCTGTCTGTATACGTACTTGTGTGTGCATCTAATGATTTTCATAAAATGCACTAATTAGCCGTGACAAGTCTCGGAAGTTCTGACTATGAAAATGTTTGTTTTTCAGAGCGGAGATGTGGTAGCACCGCGGGGGTGGCCGTTGTCGCTAGGAAGCAGCGGAGTGATCCTTCAGCTGGGCGAGTTGGACCCCACTCTGCTGAGAAACCGCGACTGTTACCTGTGTGTGCGACGGGGCACCGGCCCCCGCGTTGAGGTCGCCTTCGTTTGGAAGTGTGAGGCGTTTCTGAGCAGTCGGGCGCTTGCTGTTACGTCCCCCCCACACTCTGCTCTAGAGACGCCCGTCACGTTGGAAATGGCCGCTACCGACGAGGGTCAGGACCTCCCCGGCTTGCTCCAGAGTCTCCTGGTTTCTGTGGAGAGGGCAATCGAGCGAGTTCCTCTCGACGTCCTGGCGTTCCCGTGTCCTCGGTGCCGTGACGAAGTGATCGCGGAGGACAATGGCGTGGTGTGTGGGTGTCAGTGCGTGTGCCAACAGCAGAGCCACGTGGAGAAGAAGGACACGTCCATACAAACCAGTCCCATGTTTGAGTTCGTGGGTTCTATACCACACATTGACAGCGACGAAGAAAATGATTCTGCTCACGAACCTGATGGAACTACGAGGAACTCTGACCTCAGGTCAAGGGGTGAGTACCCGAGATTTACAGTGCTACTCTGTCTCTTGAACAATAGGGAATTACGTAAACACGCGGATTGTGTAAGTGTTTGAAAGGCGGCGAACCACGAATTTCTCGTCTTAATTGTTAATTAAAATTACGTAACGAAACAAATTTCTATCCGAGGATTTCTCTGCAGTTCAAATTGTGGTTTTATACGTTCTTGAAATTTGTATAGCTTCTCCTGCAGTCCAGTTTAACCACGGCCGGGATTCGACTCTTTTCGTCATCTCATCCAGATCCATTATGGTTTCTCCCTGAGGGTAAATAAGCTGGCTCGAAGTTGACCTCCTACTGCCGTATTGTCGTGTGATTATGAATACGCGGAACTGTACCTACACTTTCGTTAAACTTTATAGCTTGTTGCTTAATTAAGTTGTCCCCGTGCCTAATTAAGCACAAGGAGAGCTGTGCGTTTGACTTTTGAGATTCTGAAGGCGGTTAATGATGTTATCTTCCGACAAGTCCACGATCTACTATAGAAGATCACGATTAACAACTTTTACACAACACAGGGAGAGAACAGATCAGCACCAGGGGTGTACAACGATGGATAAAGACTGTGGAACCGCAACGTAGGGCCACGTACCTGAAGAACTTTAAGAATATTGAAAATATAAATTGTAACAGTCAACGACGGGACGGGAGTGGAGAATGGGTTAGAATATTAACAAAACTGCAAATTTAACGAAATATTAACGCGATGATGATGATATAGTAACGCGGGGAAAAATAAATATTAAGTAAACGGGAATAATATAACTAGAATGCAACTAATAATGCGCTGTAAGCTTTCTGAAAAACATAACAAAGGTTGTAAGAAATCGAGGTAAAATTTTAACTTTCAGCGTTAGTTCCAAATTTCAAATATTTAATACGAAGCAACCATCAGTAATTGAGGAAAACCAAATAGAAGGTAGGGACACGATGTAACGAGTGAATCTATTTCAAAAATAACGTTTAAAATAATTCACGGTGTGTGTATCAAAACTGATTGAACTTATTATTAACTGAAGTAACAAGCTCGAGGGCCTGAAGATGACAGTTATGTGTCGAAACATGTAGCTGTCATATTTTATAAAGAGCGTAAAATATTGTGCGGACATATCAGTGCTCATTTCTTCTCCTAAATTCTACTTATCTTTTAGGTGAGTGCATGTAATCGAGCGAGTCCTTCCTCAGTTAATGCAATGAAACGAAATCGAAGTTTGTAGTTGGCATTGGCGTAATTTCTGGCTCTGATCTTGCGAGCAGTCCGGAGCAAAGATTAAGTGAAATTAAGTAACAGCCTCATGTGTCACATTCGTCAGGCATCCAGGAAGCAGAAGAAGGTTATTCAACCTTACCATTTCCATGGCCGCCTTGTTTTTTAAACGAGCTACATGTGCCCAGATCATTAAACAGAAGAAGTTCTTACGGACTGCTTTTTATGGACATATATTTCTTACATGAGTAGGAATTTGTCTTAGGTTCAACTTGATATGAAAACGAGACGCGTTGAGCACATCACGATCCAAAAGAATCCTTATGAAGCATCGCGTTCTCAAGTATTATTGACGTTCTAGACGGAGGACCTTGTATCTTAACATGCGCCAAGCAGATCGATTGATAAATGTCTGCTCAGTGATTGCATTCAAATGCTAAGACGTGAAAAAAAGATCAGTTTGTTTACTTGGCGGTATTTGGAATAACTTAAAATACATCTGCTGATGCCTGAACAGCTCAGAAAATGTTCAGTGAACCCCAACGCTGATTTACTAAAACAACATTAGTTTATCTCAGGGTGTAGAGAAGTGTGACATAGTTATTCCAGTTAACGGAGCGTCCATCACATGCTTTCTCAGGAATGACTGATTTTAAAAACTTTTATGGGTTTATCGTACATCTAAGAAGTAAAACGTGAATGCCACACAAAAGTTTGCGGACTCCCCAAATGCTTGCTTTAGCATTTCATAGGTTTCCGTAGCCGTTTTGGCGAGTCTTTGGCAAAATTTGATGCACACGCCATTCCGAAAGCGCAGGAGGGTCGGTGTAATGCACTACAAAAACGCCCGTAACTAAGAAACAAATGCTAATGCGATGATGCCGGCTGGCCCACTGATTCACTATGAATGTAGGCCCAACCTCTTAGCGGCAGAAGCTCGTACTACATCCGGTTCGCCCTCTATTGACACAGTCTGAAAACTTTCCGATCGCACCTCGTACACAGAGGACGAACGGAGTCTCCTACGACTTTACCACCCTGAGGACGAAGATGGTTCTCGAAACGTTGGTGTTTCCTCCATTAAAACACGGCTGGTAGCCCGAGAAGAATGTCTTAATGGCACAGTCATCGTCAGATCACTGAATGCGCCATTCAGATCAACGGGAGAATTGTGTTGTAATGCGGGCACTTCTGTGAAGGGGTCGAATGGTTCATGTATCCTCAATAACTTCGTGGTGAAAACTGTAGGCGATCACCCTGTATCAGTGCTGCATTGCAGTAGGTCACGTGACGCATTGCAAGGCTAATGTATTCCAGAATGGCGTGCTCTGGGCCGGCGTCGTAAGCCCTGCCCTTGAGTTGCGGGACCTGATACAGGCCATTATCTCATCTTACAATTTAGTCGGTCCTGCAGCCAGAGTTGGAATCGCATATTCTGTGTGCGTAATGAATAGCTTTTTGGCAAGATGCGAGCAGCGTGAAATTGTAATTATATTTTGGTTCCTAACAACGAACGTCGACTTGAAGGAGTTGATATTTTCTGAATCGAAACAATGTCGCACAAGTCGTTGATGGTACGACGTCGATCTTCGTAACTTTTTCGGGCGTTGTGCTCGAAGATGGTCGTCCAGAATGCTCGTCATCATCGACAGGGGTTCGGCCCTTTTTAAAACGTGAATGCCACACAAAAGTTTGCGGACTCCCCAAATGCTTGCTTTAGCATTTCATAGGTTTCCGTAGCCGTTTTGGCGAGTCTTTGGCAAAATTTGATGCACACGCCATTCCGAAATCGCAGGAGGGTCGGTGTAATGCACTACCAAGACGCCCGTAACTAAGAAACAAATGCTAATTCGATGATGCCGGCTGGCACACTGATTCACTATGAATGTAGGCCGCACCCCCTAGCGGCCGAAGCTCGTACTACATCCGGTTCGCCCTCTATTGACACAGTCTGAAAACTTTCCGATCGCACCTCGTACACAGAGGACGAACGGAGTCTCCTACGACTTTACCACCCTGAGGACGAAGATGGTTCTCGAAACGTTGGTGTTTCCTCCATTAAAACACGGCTGGTAGCCCGAGAAGAATGTCTTAATGGCACAGTCATCGTCAGATCACTGAATGCGCCATTCAGATCAACGGGAGAATTGTGTTGTAATGCGGGCACTTCTGTGAAGGGGTCGAATGGTTCATGTATCCTCAATAACTTCGTGGTGAAAACTGTAGGCGATCACCCTGTATCAGTGCTGCATTGCAGTAGGTCACGTGACGCATTGCAAGGCTAATGTATTCCAGAATGGCGTGTGCTCTGGGCCGGCGTCGTAAGCCCTGCCCTTGAGTTCCGGGACCTGATACAGGCCATTATCTCATCTTACAATTTAGCCAGAGTTGGAATCGCATATTCTGTGTGCGTAATGAATAGCTTTTTGGCAAGATGCGAGCAGCGTGAAATTGTAATTATATTTTGGTTCCTAACAACGAACGTCGACTTGAAGGAGTTGATATTTTCTGAATCGAGTAAAGTTGTGCTTATGTCCAGGAGTGTCGCTGGCAAGCACTTCGTGTTTTTTGCAGGTACCCGTTAATAATTACGGTCGTGTCAGGGATACGCGCCAAATTAATAACATACGTTTCGGGAATGGGTCACCTTCGACGTCAGCATTACCGTCGTGGTTACACGTACTATGGACATGGCGTCTCGGTGGATTCTGCGGGATTTATGGGGGAAAAAAGCACACGTGTGTCTATTTTAATTTTCTGTCTGTTGTATAAGAGGACAATGAGGAGACGGAACTGATATTATCGCATTTGTTTAAGAACGAGAGTTGGTTCGTAAACAAGACGTATAATTTAAAAAACAGAACGGAAGTAACGAGTGAAATTACTTCAAATGCAGAGCTTGTTAGGTTGTCCAGCTCCTGGACCCAAGGTTCGCGGGTTCAGACCCGGCCGAGGTCGATGGATTTTTAAGGGTAATAAAAGTCCACAGCGCAACTTCTTTGGAGGGGATTGAAATCCGGCGGTCCCATGCCATAGATTACGTGAATTTCTTCATCATCTTGACACTGCCTCGTACTCCTTGCCATCCCGTTCTCTGACATCATCAGTAAATTTCTAAGAGATTATAAGGTTAAGATAAGGAACGGAAGTCCTCTTTGTCATTGGCGATGATAATGTTTAATATTCATTTTGGCGTAATTGTAAACATGTTGGGAAGGAATCGCGTCTTGTATGTTTGAGTCCTGCTAGTTTAACGTTGTTTTAACATCTGTTATGTTAATTCTGAAGAAAAAAAACGCGATGGAAGGCATTGGTGGTGAAATCAATAAATTCAAATGTAAGAGTCCTAAGAATTTCTCATACGCCGCAAGATGAACAGAGCCTCTACTGGTCTCGATACTGGACAGGTTTTATAAGAGAGTTGTCGATAACCTGTCAGTGTGTCACATTAGTAGCATTGCAGATGATGTTATTTCAGGCGTCTGGGCAGCCAGATGGGAACTGTTCGGAACGCAATTAAGGAAATGACGGAACACCATTCCATTCCGACCTGTAGTCCTAGATAATCGCACCTGACCGTCGCCCCGCCCACTTATTATTTATTGTATTGTGTGTCCCAGATTCCTGCCATATTTGTTGCAGTGCGCGACGGACTTGGGGTCTGGATGAGATTTCAGGTCTCGCGGCGACCAAGATGAAGGTGCCATGTTCTGGTATGTTACGCCGTTGTATTCTCGTAGATATTGACAGACGTTTCAGAGGCGGT